GTGTGTGTGTGTGTGTGTGTGTGTGTGTGTGTGCGTGCGTGCGTGCGTGTGTTTGTGCACTGAATAAATAAATGAAAATTTCAATGATTTATTTCCCTATTCAGCGCTTTGCAGGCGTAAATCAGTACATAAGAGGCAAGATAAATTGATTTATAGAATTGATTTATCTTGCCGTTGTTGCTCGGATATACTTCAGTAAAACTCTGAGTCGAGAAATACGCCCTTGAACACTTTGTTTACCTGTTTGCTAGTAATGTTTTATTTCTTAATATTGAGCACCTTATTTACAAAATCTGCTCGCTTTAAACGCGTTATCCTACAGTAAGTTAATGGCTGACTTATTTTTTTAGGCGTAAACAATTATTATTATTATTATTATTAAAGCGTTTAAAATTTACATTATTTATGTGGAAGAGTCATCGGAGACATACAATTAGGCATAGGAATGAACACTTTTAAAATTAAGTTTACTTAAGGGGATTTTATTTAGTAACCTTTGACATCATGAGGTCACAGATAGCGTAGCGTGAATTTGTTTTTGTGTGTGCATTTCCAAATTAATTCTGATCTTTTATTTGGGTATTTATCTTGTTCTGAAAAGATGAGTATCATGACTTTTTCCTCTAGGAAAAGGTTACTTCATTTTCAGATGTTTTTTGACATGTTTTGGTTTATGTTTTTCAGTTTACACATATGTTTAGTATTATTTGCATATATTTTTTTGTTTTTTTTTTTAGAAACAAGTCTTCGGGAAGTAACCTCTGTTTCAAGAGACCTTCCGTTATTCCGATATATTTTATTGAATTTTCCTTTCGTTATTAATATAACTTGGTCTGTTACTTTAGTTCGGATTCAGTTACAGTTTAGTGGGAATTCATATTTTGTTCTGTACTTACAGGGCTGAAAATGTTTGTAATGCTCTGGTGATTTTCCTATTCTTTTTAACGATTTCTACCATGTATTTGGTGCTGCTATTGTTGTATTTTAGATTATTTATGCGTACACATACACAAACACACGCACACACACACACACACACACATATATATATATATATATATATATATATATATATATATATGAGATTGAATACAAACTAAAAAACGATATATTAGCAACACTATTTGCCATTTGTACCTGACGACTTGGCAAACCATGAAATTTTAAGTTGCACTACAAACGTAGGCATATGTATATTTAGTAATATATATATATATATATATATATATATATATATATATATATAGATAGATAGATAGATAGATAGATATTTTATTAATATATAGATTTATATTTATTAATATATACACACACACACACATATATATATATATATACATCCACTTAATTATATATATATATATATATATCAGATACATACATATGCATCCACACACACTCACACACACATATCTATATATACATCCACACACACATATCTATATATACATCCACACACACATACATATATATATATATATACATATACATCAACACACACACACACACTAACATATATATATATATATATAGAGAGAGAGAGAGAGAGAGAGAGACAGACAGACAGAGACAGAGTGAGAGAAAGAGGCAGATGGAGAGAGAGAGATAATCTTTTTGTTTACGGCTTATCAACTCTTAATGAGTCATTTAATGCCAAAATTGTATTTTCTTGCGATCCGTGATAATACTTTTTTCTAATAATGTTTGCTGGTAATTTTTTCTAGGGTATTTTTATATATTCATGTTTCGATCTTAGTTTGGGGCTTAACAAATTTGCCCATAGCTGGGAACGTAACAGGTGCTACCACCCTGGGTGAGGGTAGACCTTGAAACAACAGCAATAAAGAGCTGGTTCCACGCTCCACAAAACCTCCCAAACAGAAACATTGCTGATGGATATAGTTTACCTTCATACGAAGGACGAAGGAGAAAGAATAAAGAGACTAAAATGAGTAAGAGATGAAAAGAAATTTATCAATGCAATGCCTGCAAAAAAGAAACAAACAAATGATAAACCTAGCATATCGTAATCGTCTGAATATCGTGGGCGGTGTGAAACTCAGAGTAACGCTTGTAGATCAATTTCTCGAGAGGAATTCTTTGTTGCTTTCATTATATATATATGCATGTTTCATTAAAAACGACAGACAAGGTACTACGGTTAAGCTTTTTATTCAATTTTTCTTGTGTTCGAACAAGAGCTTTCTTTTCTGGACAAAGGGTGTGTATGAAATGTCCAAATGTTTTATATTTCCGAGCGCTTTCGGCTATACCTTTAGCCATTAACAAGGACAATTCGATTTTTCAGTTTAATTGAGTGTGTGCGTTTTGTGTATGTCTTAGTGTGTGTATGTGGTTTTTAATGAAACATGTATAAAGGAAGGATTGCTGACTAAATATACAACTATATATGCATACAGATAAATATACAACTATATATGCATACAGATATATATATATATATATATATATATATATATATATATATATATATGCATACAGATAAATATATATATATGTGTGTGTGTGTGTGTGCGTGCGCGCGAGCGTATGTGTATAAAATGTTTATATTTAGGCAGCATATCTTCATTCAAGCATGTTTGGTTCAATAATCTAGACATAAAATGTCATTTTATTTTTATTTTTATTTTAATCCTCTCATATTCACGTACCGACGGCCTCCGAGTGTTTCGTTTACCGAATTTCACTCACAAGGCTTGGGTCAACCCGTGCTCTTACTAATGCTGTTTCATGTACATTTACAAAAAAAGAATTTTTTTTTTAGTTTTTTTCTGCCTTAGTAATTGCCCCTGAAGATGATCTTGGATGAGATTGAATGCACTTGGGAAAATAAAAAAAATAACCAAAACTACGTCGTCTTTCTTAATCAGTTTTATAACAGCACTAGAAATTGATCCGTGAATTTGAGAGGATTAAAATAAAGATAGACAAAATATGTCTAGCTTTTTCAACCAAACATGTGTGTGTGTTTGTGTGTGTGTGCACGCGCGCGCGCTAATTCTAAAAATGCATCAAAGAACGGCTCCGTTTACGAACTGAACGTTAAAAAAATTCATAACATAGAAAAGAATTCTTATTTTTTAAATAAACATTAACTGACATATTTCTTGGAATTGTCCAATAATTCCCGTCGACTGAAAAAGTCTCCACAATTAATCAACTTCGAGTTTTTTTTTTTAATCCGAATCCTTAAAATAAGGCGCCATTTAAACAGAAACATCAAAGGCTTTTATTTTTAAACAATATTTATTCTTTATTGTTAGAGTGTTAAACTTTCAGGTAAAAACCGGCATTGATATTAGCAAAGTGTGTACGCATTTTGTGACACCTGTATGCACACACAAAGAGAGGGTCAGACAAGAACATGGGCAACAACACATATATCCACTCTCTAATAAATCTATGCTTACAGACTTATGTAAGTTTACATATATTTATTCATACATGTATTAAACGCACATTATAAAACCACTTTTAGAAAAATATTGATAGGCGAGGATATGTCCATACACAGAAAATATGGAGACATGCTCTATGTGCACGCACACACACACACACACACACACACACACACACACACACACACACACACATATATATATATATATAACTCGATGTTTACATGTTTATATAAGTTGATATATTTATATTTAAGCAAATAAGACATTGAAAATGTATATGTATGCATCAATTCGAAATATATATACTTTTTTCTTTATCCTATCATATATATATATGTGTGTGTGAGTGTGTGTGTGCGTGCGTGCATAGGTGTGTATGTATGTGTGAATATATATATATATATATATATATATATATATATATATATATATATATATATATATATATAGATATAAACATGCTCATATATGTGTGTGTGTGTCTACGTTTGTGTACGTGTATACTATCACTATGCATATTTAAATCTCTATGTACAAATATATATATATATATATATATATGTAACTCTGTGTGTGTGTGTGTGCGCGCGTGCGCGTATCTGTGCACACATATATGTGTGTATGAGGGTCTGTTTGAGCGTGTGTGTGCATATGCGGGGTACGGAAAAGTTCTCGAGTTGATCAAAACCTTTCCCAAAAATTCTGATGTTTGTTCATTTGGGGAGATTTGAGGTAGGGTAATAGGCTGGGAAGTTTCAACAGACTTTTGGATGTGTAAATATAATATATATATATATATATATATATATATATACACAAACACAATATATCTATATATATATCACTATGCATGCTCGTATAAATAGAACTATATATACATGCATAGCTACATATCGTAAAATATCTTTAAATATCTATATACAAATATATATACCCAGTAACAGTCTCTCTCTCTCTCTCTCTCTCTCTATATATATATATATATATATATATATATATATATATATCCTGCTTTGATATATCAATATGTGGACACATGTACAAAGCCCTATTTTTCTTTAACTTTGATGAAAGTTTATAGCCTGTCCACCATTTTTTCAAGTTTTACGTTGGATTTTTTTGCCTCTTGAGTTTCTTTCAACAGACTTCCGGTGCCCACGTGACCGGAAGGTGTAGCACGTATTTCAAAAGAACCGTAGACGCGGGAAAGGGAAAAACAACATGTCGGCTTTGAGGTAGTTAAAAGGCTAACACAATATTCCGCACAAGCGCAAGCTCACTCCTATATACAAACCCATATCTCAGCTATGATACACGCCCACATATTCGTGTGTTGAGTTAAACACGCACATTATATAATTTATATTTGGAGAAACACTACACACATGCCTCTGTATACATACGTAAATAGATTTGAGCTCTCATTTATGCGCAAATACTGACTTGTGTGGGCTTTGTAAAAATCAAAATTCATTTTATGGCTGTTATCTTTTTTTCTTACTTTCTTTTTCGACTAAATTTTCTCAACTAATTTCTTTCTTCTGTTCCGTTTTGTAACATTTTTCTTTTTTTGTAGCCATGTTCTTTCTTTCTTTCTCTGTAACACTTGCTCTTTTTTTTATATATATATTCTTTTTTCTTTCTTTTATCTATTCTTTCTTTTTCATTACGTTTCTTTCATTCTCTGTAACGCTTGCTCTTTTATATATATATATATATATATATATATATATATATATATATATATATATATATATACAGTGTAACCCGGATATAAGAGACCCGATATAAGAGAACCGGATATAAGAGAAACCCGGATATAAGAGAGATTTTCTCTGGTCCCAAATTAGAGCCTGTGTTAATGTATATAAAATAGACCAAACCCGGATATAAGAGACTTCTTTTCCGGTCCCGACAACTCTCTTATATCCGGGTTACACTGTATATATATATATATATATATATATATATAAATAAAGAAATATAGTCTTAAGGAGTGCTATATTTATGGGATAAAGTGCTCAATATCAGAGATAGAGCGTGTGTAAATATAAAAGTGAACATAGAAGTCAACACTTAGAGGCGACAGTCTGTTTCATGCTATATGCAATCGTCAGGCCACGTGTGCTGTTATTTTTCTCGGCTATTTATATATATACGGGTTAGTGGTGCATTGTGGGTATTCTATTATGGCGGTTATTTTTACCGGAAGTCGCTTTAAATAGCCGAGAAAAATAACAGCACACGTGGCCTGACGATTGCATATAGCATGAAACAGACTGTCGCCTCTAAGTGTTGACTTCTATGTTCACTTTTATATTTATATATATATATATATATATATATATATTTCTTTTATCTATTCTAACTTTCTATTTCATTACGTTTCTTTCTTTCTCTGAAGCATCTTCCTTCTTTGCGCAATAATTTTTATAGTTTACTTTTTTTCCGCCATCTTTTTCATTATTTTCTTTCTTTCGTTCTCTGTAGCATCTTTCTTGTTTTGGATATTCATCCTTTATTTTATCCCCTTTCCTCTTTCTCTCTTTCTTTTGTCATATATTTTATGTGTGTAGCATTTTTCTATCATCGTCATTCCTTTATATAACTTTTCTTTCTTTCTTTATTCGTATCCATTTTCTTTTCTTTTTTATTCCTTTCTTTCTCTAGAACATTTTCTCTGTAGTAGCTTCCTTCCTTTGCATATATATTTTTCTAATACATTTTCCACTTTCATATTCTTTTCTTTTTTTCTGTCTATATCATCTTTTTTGCATTTCTTTGTTTTTATCCACTTTTCCTTGTCTGCCTTTCTTTCTTTCTTTCTTTCGACTTTTCTTTCTTTCTTTCTTTCTTTCTTTCTTTTATCCATCTTCATTTATATTTTTTATCAATTTTCTTTCTTCTTTTCCTGTGGATGCTTTGCAGTTTTCTTTTTACAGTCCCTCCTTTTTCTGAATTCTCAACTCTTTTATTTATTTTCCGCGTCCATTCTTTCTTTCTTTCTTTCTTTCTTTCTTTCTTTCTTTCTTTCTTTCGCCCTCTCTCTCTCTCTCTCTTTGTCTGTTTCTCTTTTTTTTTAAAGTCAAGCTGCAAGAAGAATAACAGTTTTTTAAAAGTTGCCGAATAAATCAAATCTCTATTGAAATCGCTCTTTGAAATTCCTTTTTTCAATCAAACGCAATCAATAAAAAAATCAATAACAAAAGCAAATACAGTGAAAAAAATAAAAAAAAAAAAATAAAAAAAAAAAAAAAATAAAAAAATGATATAACCCAAAAAAGGATTTCGTTTCAAAATGTTTCCAAATTGAAGTTGTTTTTTCTTCGTTTCAACCCCCTTCAAAAAACTATTACTGCGAGCCGTACTAAAACTGGAAATTACGCGGGAAAAAGAGTTCAGGCACAAAAAAAATATATATATATATATATTGCGGCTGACAAATAAGTTGTAAACGCCTGTTAAAATAGTCAATACTGCACGCATAATTTTTACATTTGTCAGCCTCAGGGAGCTGACAATGATCCTTTGGAACAGTCCCTATACTTCCGTTATCAAAAAATCTTAATTGAGAGTTGTTTATGTGTTAATGCAAAAATAACTAGAAAGTTTTTTGTTAGGAATTTGTTGTTTTTTTTTCTATCAATATTTCATTTGGGTGCTACAGCATAGGGCTAATGGTTAACGCACTTGTATAGATGACCATTTCTGGCCTTGTGAGAAAACATAGCAAAGCTTAGTAAGTTAATATCCCAATCATAGTAAATGAAACATTGTTATTACTTTTTAGTTATTTATTTACCCCCATGAGAAAGGCAAAAGTCTGTGATAATGGACAATCTTATTTATCAAAATAAATGGAATTTCTACGGATCCACGCTATGCTTGTTTTTATGTGCGACCTGTACGTTTGGCAAACAGGAGCGGGCTCGCTAAACGTTACTCAAACGAAATCACGGAAGTGTATATTGCCAGAGTGCTCTTGTCTTAATATTTCAGCAGACTTTCTTTCTTTCTTTCTTTCTTTCTTTCTTTCTTTCGTAGCATTTATTTTTTAATAATGATATGCATCAATTTATATTTATTATGCATATAACAACTCTATTCTCTCTCACCTCCACACACACACACACACACACACATATATATATATATATATATATATATCCACATGCCTATCCAGACGCCTTACGTTACACCTATCCGACCACAGCTCCATTAGAACCCATTTAAAAACGCACACAAACTTACCAGACTCCATTCGAAACATCCTAGTAGAAAATACAAGCATAATAAACTTATCCACATGTAAAAATATTAACAGTAATGGAAGCCTTAATAATAAAAAAAAAAAACGAACACTCAATGTGCTGTGTTCGAAAAATAAAACATCCCTATAACTTTAGAAACATACACACAACCCATAGACCCAGTTAAAAAGTAAAGCTAAAATCATCCTTGATAATGGCTAAAAGTATATCTGAAAGCACTCAGAATTACAGAACATTTGGACAGTTTCTACACACTCTGTGTCCACAAAAGAAAAAAATATTTCAAACACAAGAAAAATAAAATAAAAAGCTTAATCGTAGTACCTTGTCTGCCGTCTTTAATGAAACATGTATAAATGAAGGATTGCTGCCTAAATACACAATATATATATATATATATATATATATATATATATATGTGTGTGTGTGTGTGTGTGTGTGTGAAACCACCGTTTGATCTGGTGTGTTTTAGACCGCCTGGGCATAAAGAGAGTCACAGGTGAGTAATGTTCTATTTTTCCTTTTAAGTAGGCACCACAACTGAATTTTCGATATCTAAGTTTTAAAACTAATTTTTAAAAATGACAAAGCGTTCTTGAAGCTTTCATTTTCGCTTTAATTGAAAGCTAAATGATTTAATTTACTATTTCCAGAAAGCAAAAAACTCTGGTATATTTCAAAATGGAAATTGTATTGATTAGAATCTCAACATTTTGCTCACTTTCACAAAATCGATTTTAAGCTGCCATTTTCTCACATTTGTAAACAAATGTTAATTCTCGGTTTTAAAAATTTTCAAAAAATAAAATATATATTTGTAACATGTTATTTGGGGAAAGTTATCAAATTTAAAGTTAAATTAATCTGATCTGAAACAAATATTACTTATAGCATAGAAAACGTAGTATACTAGCATTTCTTAACCACAGGATCTTGTTTTTCTGACGTTCTCATTGATGTTATTCACAGCCTAAGATGTTGACAGTTAAGTATAGTTGACCAGAATTGACATAAATTTACGAAATTTTACGCATTTTTTAAACTACCTAATAATTTAAAAACTTAACATAATATTTTCAGCAATTATCTAATATTTTAGCTTTAGAGCCTTGTGTTTGAAGATGCTTTCTGAAAAATTAATAAAATTTAAAATATTAAATTTTAAATTAATTTAATAACTGTGATATAAATGAAATACAATGATAGAGATACTCAATAATTTATGAAATATTATCGTATTTATTTATTATTAATTTATATTTTTAATATCTTATTTTTTATTTTAATCTTTATTATTAATTGCTATCATGATGGTTATGAAATGTTATTTTATTTATTAAATGTTTATAGTACTTTAAATTAGATTAATAATTACGTATTTGTTTACACTTTTATTATTTTAATCCAATACCCTAAACAATATTTAAAAGAAATTGCTACTATGTATAACAGTAAAAAGATCTTCGGGAATATTTTGTGGCCCTGAAAAGGGCGTTTTTATCTTTCATTGCCTCTTCAACAGTCCTCATTACTGGGTTGATTTCCCAAATACAGAACCCGTATAAGACAGTCAGCGTCAACTTCGTATTTGTTCAATTGATAGTTGTCAACTATATCACTGAGATTGGAAATCCTGTAAAATGGATCTACAAAACTAATGATGTAGCCGACATAATAACTGTTTACTCCATCAATTGTCCAAATATGTCTGATGGTATCTTCATCTATGTTACTGAGTATTTCATGCAGGTCTTGTGTAAATATCTGGATACTCAAGAAGCAAAGAAGAAATTGACAGATTTTTCAATTTCTTTAAATTTTTCTGAATCATGACTCTTCTTTTTCCAACTTGAAATCCTTAATTAATTTACCAATATCTTCTTTGACTTCTTGGTGCTGATTATTCTTCAGCTCAGTCATCAGTGCCAACCGTAAGTATTTCTGAAACTGTTCAACATACAGATCATCGATGAATTTTCTTACTTTATCCCGCTTGAGCTTGATGACATCCCTTATGCTGAACACATAAGCATTAGACCATACTAGACATGGAATCCTCGGTGAGTACGCTCAGATTCATACTGATCTCCTTGATGAAGTTCATTGTGTCGATGGGGTCTTTTTGTGTAATTTCAATGGTTTAGAAGGTACTCATCCAAGGCCCTGATAGCATCTTCCCTATGATTCCCAGCACTTGCGACAATAGTAGCTGCACCCTTGAGATGATTTTATTCGGGGAATAAATTTCCAAGATAAACTTTTTGCACTGTTCGAAAATGGGAAAGTAAGTTGCACCTAGATGAAAAATTAAGTGCAATCGATTCCCTCGGAAGCTAGTGATTAGGGACAATGGAAGCTCTTGTTCGATAAAGGACTTCATTTTGTTAACAGGCTCTAATATATCACTATAACTGAGGAAATTCATGGCCACAAGAATTCGCCATGCTAGGCACTCACTCACATGTGTAACTCCAGTGGTGTAAGTTTCGCAATCACCCAGGAACTTCCTCGTCTTCGACGCAATTGTTTTCAAAGGATTTAAGTTGCAGTATAATTCTACAAAATCTGCCACTCTTTTTCCAATAACGAAACCGTCAAATGGTTGAAAGGAGCTCGGTCTGTTAAGCAGAATTTAATTTTCAAAATTATGCGTTTTAAACTGGCATCAACACTGATGCGAGTGGACAGTTTTTCTTTTAGCTAGGTTGTTGATGCAGTTACAAATATCCTGCCTGTAGTCCATCGCACTCTCTCCAGAATGACGGTCCAGTGACACAAGATGAGGAGATGAAGGCATTGGTAATATCACACAGTTCACGTGGTTTTTAACTTGTGTCGTAGAATCCAAAAATTAAGTTCAGTTTTCCGCACTTCACACTGCACCGAACGTCTTCACATCTGAAAGGAAACCAACTCTTCGACCATTCTGTAAAATATTGTAGAACTTTTGTCCACAAAGCAGTGTTTCACGGACAATGTTTTCGAAATAGAATTTAACAGTTCAGAAACATGAAAAGCAGAAACTTCATTTAAAAGAGAGTCATAATGGAGTTTCCTGCTAACGAAAAAATTACAATTTTGGCTTCTTTTTCTTCTGTATTTCTTTTATGTTTTTCCATTAATTTAATTTTCTTGTTTTTTGTGCCAACTGTTTTTTAGGCTTATTATTTTACCAAATTCTGACAAAGGAATAGAAGATGAATACCAGACTGAAGTTTTAGAAGACAGGGTTGTAGTTTGAGAATGCAGGATTGCATTTGATGAAGAAAGGGTTGCAGTCGCAGCAGACAGGGTTGCATTTTCAGCAGACACGATTCAGATTGCATCAGACAGTGTTGCATTTGCAGCAGACAGGGTTGCATTTTCAGCAGACACTATTCAGATTGCATCAGACAGTGTTGCATTTGCAGCAGACAGGGTTGCATTTTCAGCAGACACGATTCAGATTGCATCAGACAGTGTTGCAGTTGCAACAGACAGGGTTGCATTTTCAGCATAAATAAAAATAAATAAATAAAAATAATAAATAAAAAATCCAATCCTTGTTTAAAAATTGTTGTTTATGTTTGGATACAAAACAGAGCAGTAATGAAAATTTTGAGAAGTCTATGACCACAAAGATTTTGCTTCAAGTTACTATTCAGCCTTGCGTGATCGGCAACGTTCTTTGTAGCTGTATTGGATAAAGCCCGTTGAATCTGACGACGATTCCTTCGGTCCAGGAGGACGCAGGTTCGTATCCTACCGAACATCGCATACTCCTCTTTAATAAAATCTCTCGAATATTCAGGCCGATTGATGAAAATAAATTA